CCCCAAAACCCCAAAACCCCAAAACCCCAAAACCCCAAAACCCCTGTCTTTGCTCTTTAGTTGAAAAATGAACTGAATAATATGTTTTATCTTCAACAAAGCAGTTAAGATCTCTTTTTCCATTGTTTTCTTTGGTTCCTCTTTTTCTCAAGAGAGCAAATCTTGTAATTTTGCTTGACATCTGAATATCCAGCGTCCATCACCTTGCTGTTTCTCAAGTTAAATATATCTTGGCTTTCTAATATTTTGTTTCAATTCTGTTTTTGCTCACTCATCAATAATGAACTAGCATATCGTTGGCGCTCAACTATAAATAATTTCAAGAAGTCCGAATTAGTTATTACCATTAGGTTCCATTGACTGCCTCTTTCCCTTCTTGTATTGTGAGCTTTTAACATTTGGAGTTGTATCGATCGTAGGGTTTATTCCTCTAAAACTTATCTTATTATCATAAAAAGAGCTTCTTTGTTTTCCCTCTGCTTCAGGTTTTTGGACATCATTAGCTCTTTTACTTCTATACTTCGGCTTTTTAGCAGAAGTTAAGCAAGTCTCTTTTTCGTAAAATATCTTGTTTTCTATATCGTTTGATAATAATTTTTTCCTACTTTGGGTTAACGGTTTTTCTTGATAATCTTCGTTAAGGAAATTTTTACTTTTTCTGACTCCCACTTCGAGAAAGCTCTTTCTGAACGAGTTTTTCTTATTCTTCTCTGCTGTAGAACAATAATAGTGAATGTCAGAATCGATGTTCTTAGCAGGGCGGATAAAAGCAAGACTATTATTTCTTTTTGGAGGAAGGTTATTAGAGGCAGCATCTCTATCTTCCTTGAAATTTCTTTCAATTGAAACTCTGTTTTTAATTGATTTGTAAGGACTATTAGCCTTATTTCTATTTTCGCTTTTGCTAGAAACAATTTCTTCCACTATATCTAAGTCTTAAGTGTACCTACATTTCCCAGTCTTGAGATATTCGTCTTCGTGGTCTGTAGATATTTTATCTTTTTGGAAATTTTTTGTTTTGACTGGTGATGAACCTCTTGGGTCAATATCAACTGCTTTTGGTTTTTCATACTTTGAGCCTTCGAGGTTTGTATGATCTGTAGAGCTATTAGCAGAGCTAGTCTGATATTGCTTCAATTTTGCAACAGATTTGATTAAATTTGCATTATCTTTAGATAGTTTAAGAATAAGATGATCCTTTTCATCTAATTTCTTTGTTAATTTTTCATTCTCTTTCTTTATTTTTGCAAATTCTCTATCAGGGGATTTGCCACTCATTGTCTTTATCTTCTTAGCGAGCTTATTGAGTTCCAATTTTAGTTCCTTTATCTCATTCTTGTATTGAGAGTGAAATTTCCTATCTGTAGCAATATCGTAAATTCGTTGTTAATATTCATATAAAATGAAAAATCCTTTCAGCTACTGCTCCAGATTTATTAGAAATGTTACTTACTATTTTTCGTTCAACATTTTTGGCATTGATTCTTACAACTACTTGTGTCTTTCTTTTCTACAACCAAAGTTAGCATATTTTATGATTGAATGGCCATTATTGTATGAATATTTGGTTAAAGTAATTACTCTTATCACTAAATTGATCTTGGTCATAATCCTCATAACTGTAATATACATCCCTTTTCTGGTCTTCGTATCTTCTAGGTGGGTACCTCATATTCTCTTTATGCAAGTTAAATGGGTTGTCTCCCATATTGGTTGTAAATAAAATAATTATTGAATATTCAATTAAAAAGGTAACTATCGGGGTTTTGGGGTTTTGGGGTTTTGGGGTTTTGGGGTTTTGGGG